GAAAATCAAAGGGTACTTTGTAAGCATATGAAAAATTAACACTGCAGGCCTATAGCTTTATGTACTGATTAGAAGCATATTAAATCAATAGGACATACAAACCAACAGCTTGCATATCTGATTATTGCAAGTCTTAGGAATGGATATCATGGCTTTAATTTAACCAAGGGATACAATTATTATGTTTTATTTTACTTAAGATTTGAGAATCACCTGAAACATCACCATGGCAGATACACGGATATTTTAAGAAACTAAGAACACTACGGACCGGTCACAGACACAGTGAATATTTAAACTATTTAGGATATATTGCCAACAGAGCACTGCCCATAGGAGGAGACGACCTGCAGCTGTATCGCTTTATAGGTAATCAACTTCTGTTAAGTCTTTGGGTTCCTTTCTCCTCTCCTATTAAACATTATATCAGTTAGAAGAAATTTTAAAAGACTGCCAAAATGCTGTAAATGGATCTTCTGTGAGTTTCTGGCCCTCTTCAGGCTGGAAAAATTACCGCAACTGCATGTGTACAATAACAGCAGCAGCAAAGAGTACTTGCTTAAGAACCCCCTCGGTAGAATTTAGGTGTTATGCTAAGACCAATTCAATTGCTTGCAATTTATTCCAGTTTCAGTAATATTTGTAGTGTTGCCCTAGAACAAAGCTGGTAGTGTTACAAAAGGTGATCGGAGTGGTGAAAATGAGAGTGGGTAGCAGAAAGGAAAAAAGCAGCGTTAGGAAGCTACACTGTGTTCAAAGACAGTCAGTAACGATAGCGTGCTGGCAATGCCACATTTCTAAAATGATGTCTTTGACAGTATTACAGTTGGTTTTATTTTGACCTGTTTATATAAACATACGCTCTTTAGTCTGAATTCCTTGCTTCAGTAAGAAACATGATGTGGTATGTAAGCTTCAGGTTTCTTACAGTGAATGCAACTCATTCAACCAGTAAAGAACCTGCTCGCCACTATTCCTGATACTCAGATAATCACAAAGTTTATCTAATTACTTATTACAGGACTTTTGAAAGTTGACCCTCAAAAAAATTAAACTTAAAGGAATAGACAGCATTTTGCAGCATTTTATCTTGGCCTTTGAAAAATGTAATTTTCCAGTAGCAATCAATGCAAAATCCTCCAACCAGTGTCTGAATAGTGCTTTATGCAACTCAGACCGAAAGTTGGATTTTACAGATTTGTCACCTTTTGAAAAGATTTTGATTTCCTCTTACACATTTTAGTGAATTAACCAAGATATAGCCTATAAGGAAAAGAAACCATGACAAAATACTGTGACACGACTGGAGGCAGTAAGATTCAAGCACTAACATTTAAAACAGTAGGCTGCCCAAGCGCATTAAATAGCTTTTTTCTTCTACAACAGATATCTAATGGTGAGTTTTGAAATGGTTATGTAGCTATGGCCAATTATAATGGCTTACTGAGAGAATATTTGTTGCTTGTTTTTCTATGTCTTGTTCTATTCTTGTATTTTCAGCTCTTTTCTTCTTTATCCCCATATTTATCCCTTTTTTTGTCTTCAGTCTGACCTTCGTTATCTTTAGGATTGCTGATAGATAAACTCACATCATGTTGCTGGTCCTGGTGGTCAATTAAGACTCACAGTGTAATAAAAGTAAATTCTAAAATTAATTTGACTATTAATTTAATCTGGTGATTTAGATACCATTTAGAGTACTATAGTTATACAAGAGGGTGGGACCTCTGCATACTCCTGTATTATTTTATGTAAAAGGGTGACTGTTAAAAGAACAAAACAGGCTGTATAAGCTCTGTTTAGCCCCGAATCTTGTCTTTGACAGCGGTCACAAGTGGATGCCGAGGAAAGTATGAAAACAGAGGAAGCATATCCTTTCCCTAGGTACTCTCCCAGCCTCCAACAACGTGTAGCTCAGAATCCCTCTAAGCCAGAGACTGCATCAGCGGTAATAGTTAATAGTTTTCTCTTCCATGAATTTACACAGTCTCCCAGCAAGGGTCCCTATAAGTATAGATGAGGTTTTCCAAAAACTGAACTGCTGACTTTCAACAGGAGTGAGATACCCAGCTTCTTAGCATACTTTGGAATACCACATACTAACATGTATTATGGATATCTTTCTCTAGATATTCCAAACAGGCCCTCATGCAATTGTCCTATTGTTTTTTCATTTACTTCAGTAGTAGCAGAACCACATTTTTTGCTATGCACGGACTAACTGAAGCTTGAATTGGTACAGAAAGTAGGTTGGAAAATTATGATAGAATGGCATAAGAGCCACACAGCACACATGCCTTACATGCATATGTTAAACAGTTAAAAAATATGTGAATTCACTTGCTACCTACAGTAGTCATTCACATTAAAGATACAATTAAACTGCTACGGTGTCTCAGTACTTACTGATGTTTTTGCACATCTGGGGTCAGATTCCAACAATTCTTTTTCGCACCGGAGCATGTTTCCACAAATGGCCTCACAATTGCCAGATCTGCACTTGTGGAGGCAGCAGTTCTCTTGATATGGAATAAATATCATTAGACTCTGGGCCTCAGGATGAAATTTTTTGTATGTTGACAGACTTCAGCAGTGCACAGTAGGATGAAGGCCTTATAGAGACATTCAGTGTAGTTTGCGAATTCTACCCTTTATGCAGCAGCAAAATAATTGTTCAGATAACTCAGATGCCGCATTAAGTTAACAAGGTAAAATACATCGATAATCCTGTCCCGCGCATTTGTTTGCCCAATGTTATGTTTGAAATGAGGAATCTAAAGTCAGTCTCATTTTTAGATGGAATAGATTTTTACACAGTCCAAACTCACAAACTACATTATTTTTAATCTGTTGCCTACTACATACCAATGAGGAAAATCTGGGTATCGTGTCTTAAACTGCTATGCAAATTATGCTATTTGTAAGTATTAACATAATATAGTGCTTACAGTCATATTTTCATTTCTAATAATTCTACCAGAATGGAGAGTCTTTTCACTGTACTCTTAGCCTGCAGGATAGTCTTTCATCAAGAAGCTGAATTTTTTAATAACCTGCCAGCATACGTTTTGTATGTGGCAGCCTATGCTGATGACACAATGTCTTCATTATCAAAAGAAAGAGGTCTACATACTGTAATAGGACATTAAAGCATGCCTGTGCTCATAAACTAATGCTTTGATGTTTAAATGTGTATCATTACAATGGTATTCCTTAACAAAGGATGATTTTAATCCTCTACTCTCAATGATAATACTCAGTGGAGACTGCAATTCATTATATATAAAAAAGGTCTCCCGTTCTACAGGAGAGCTGAACTCAGAAGGCAGAAAAATTTGAACACATGTATTCAAACAAGATATTCAAAATGGCAGCAAGTTTCACGCTTTGCCAAAGCCCACTTTAATACTGGTCTGGATTT